ACATGAGAGAGAGAGAGAGAGAGAGAGAGAGAGAACATACAATTTCAAATTCATTATTGTTATCAAGGTAGATGAAACAGAAAATCACTCAACCGTCATTAAAATTAGTGATCTATCTATTCTACTCTTCACAAACAAAAATTCACGATGCACACGAAACTCACGCCATGCGGAGGGAGTGACCCTTCACCCTGATCACCTGACCCACCGTCACCATCGTCCTCGACCTTCTGCTCTGGGTCAAACCTGGCCCAGAGCGCGTCGAACCGCTTGGAGTATCCTCTCATGGTATTCGTGGACACCTCATCGTCCACACAGCCGATAGATTTCTTTCTCTGCACCGTGGGCCCAAAGACGCTGGCCTTACGGTGCGTGTCATAAGACTCCCCTGTCGCGTCTGACGCGCTCAGAAAGTTTTTTCTTCCGCCATTCCGCTTCGACTTTTTCGAAGAAGGACTCGGTTCGCTGACGTTTCGTTTCTTTTCTATCTCCTGCATGAATTTGCTTTTGCTTTTTCTTCGCCTTTGAGATGAGCCACCGGAGGTGGGGGCTCCGCTCTGGCCATCGCTTCGTGGGGAAAGCGTGTCGTGCGCGGGAGAGGCGTGGCCTGAGTGTTCATGATGCTCATCTGTAGGGTTGGTTTTTGCGTGTGTCACGTGGTGTGTGTGTTTCACGTGGTGTGGGTGTGTCACGGGGTGGGGGTGTGTCACTGGGTTGGGGTGTGTCTCTTGGCTTGACGTGGAGCTGGCGCCGGCTGCGGTAGCCACAGGCATACTGTAAGACGTGACGTCGTAATGACTGGTCTGGTCGGCCTCATGCTGACTGGGTGTGACGTCATGGTGGCTGGTCGAGTGGCTGACCATGACGTCATGATGGCTGGCTCGTCTCGGCGACATCAGGACGCTGCCAGGGAGATGTTGGGCGCCACTAGGCGCTGTGTCCACCTCCAGACTCATTTTTCTGAAGGCAGCAGACGGTTTAGGTGGAGGTGGCGGCGGCATATGCCTAATTTCCGGGATAACAAAGTTCGTGTTTTCGCCCCGATGCTTCAAACCTATATTAGCAGGGGGAGACAACTGATGGTGCACCCCTGAGGATCTGTCATGGGGACCCGAGGCGATACTAACAGTACTCGAGCCTAAGCTTTGATCGGACCAACCGATACCGCTCTCGTCAGGCTCCAGTGGAGACTCTGAGAGAATTCGACACACAACATGGCCTGTGGCTGTCCGAGTATCGATTATGGTTTCAGGGAATGAGTGGGTTCTGACAGTTTGTATACATGACGCGCCTGACGTTGACAGCAAAGATGGCGCTGGGTTGGTGAACTCCTGATGATGCACGCCTGGGGCGGAACCTTGTGTGTAGCTGTCACAGGTGTCGCCTGTCTCCTGATAATGTGGACCGGCGTGAGGTGCTGTTGTGTGTAACTGATCTGTGTGCTGTGCTTGTTTTTGGGATACGTGTATGCCAGTCGTGTGTAGCTGAGTAGTGTGCTGTGAAATGTGTTGTTGCTGATGTTGTTGCTGATGTTGTTGCTGATGTTGTTGTTCAGAGCGCAGGGCACCAGTATGTACGTGACTCGTGTGCTGAGTCGAAGTGTGTTGTTGGCCTGTGTGCTGTACAGCTGCGTGTAACTGATGCCTGGGTTGCTGTTGCTCCAGCTCCCGTTTGTGTTGTCTGTCTGCAAACTGCTGTCGTATTTCGGCCTGTTTCTTATAGAAGTCGATCGTATCTGACGACTCAGACTCCGCCAACTCCCCGCGCGACATGTCCTCCTCAAAGTTTGCAGCTGAGAACTTGAAGGCTGGGGGAGGTGTGCGGTCAGAAGGCAGGTTGTACGCTTCTGGCACTCGCGCGCTGCCAAGTGGACTGAACACGTCATCCTCGTGAACGTCCATCTCTCTCCGTGACGTATGTGGCGTGCTGTGAGCGCCCTGAGCCTGCAGGGACTCCGTGAAGCTCTCGCTGACGGAGGCCTGACGTGGTGAAGTGGCACTCGAGGGTGTGAACACGTGGCGGTAACTCGACACTGCCACATGGGGGTGGTCTTCAGTGGTCGGAGTGACCGAGCTTCTCCGAGCGCTAGGGAAGGGGGAAGCCGAGGCTGTCTCCATATGGATTTCTTCTCGGCTGTCTTCTTCCAAACGAGTAGAGCACGCGTATATCGCGGAGATCGCTTTACTCTGGGAAGGGGGCGTGTCCTTTCTCTGTCCCATGGTCGTGTATTTCTCTCGGAGTTCCGCCATATTCACCTGAGTTGTGTGTCTTCTCTCCGGGTCCATTCTCTTTAGTTTGGACAATCTTTGGGTGCTTTCGTCTGGACTTGCAAGTTGAGTATTGTCATCAAACAGTTTCGCTCTGTCTATCGGAAGGCGAGCAGCAGCAGAATGTGGCGAGCGAGACGGACTATGAACACGGCTGATCAGCTCTGAGACTTTGGATCCTCCAGTAGCTTCGAGTCGTTTGTCCATTGAGAGGGACAGAGAAGAACTGGAACTAGATCGGCTGCTCGAGTTTAACATTTTGACCATATCTGAGACTTTTTGGCCAGGCGAGACGGTTCTTCCAGAAAACCCAGGCTGGAATGTGAGAGAAGAGCCCAGGGACTCCGAACCACTCTCATCCGTAGACTCAACTTTCCTCAACAGTTCACTAACTATGCGTTTGTCGAACGTCCCCGAAATTACCTCTGACTTCTGACTGGATGTTGCCAGAGTGTGTGACATGCGTATTTGATCTTCATGGCTCACTCCAGCTCTGGTTTGCCCTGACGGCACAGCGTCAGACTTCCTGCTTGTATCATCCGAGACAGTTTCGATTTCCGACAGTTTGTTAATGACACCAGCAACTAAAGGACTGGCCGGTAAAGAGGTGCCGGTTTTGGAAATCCAGGGAGAGTTAGGCCGAGTTTTCTCCCTTGGTGGTGTGCTGAAGGAGCCGGAGGAGTCACTGGAGTCTGTGCTGTTGAACCGCTCGATGACTTCGAAGATGGTGCCCCCACTCGTGTGACGTCGCTGTTTTCTACTGGCCGCACGGCGCACCGTATTCATCTTAATGACGTCCGACTGCGTCAAAGACTTGGACAAATTTTCAAGAGTTTTTGACGCGTCATTCTCCAGGCACACAGCCATGCCGCTAGCGTCTCCCCCATCCGTACAATCACCGTCTTCAGTCCTGGTTCCTTCAGGTCTTGAATCCTCGCCTTGTGCAGTAGGGTCCACCTTCAGGAATTGCTGAGTCGGGACGCGGGAGAGGGATGGGGTGGAGGTGGACTCAGGTTCCCAGTCGTCTCGAACTGAGGCTCTCTGACTCTTCTTCCCAAACAGACGTTGTCTCTCTGCGGCCCAGCTGTCCGGGGGAGGTTTGCGAGGTTTCTTTTTCTTTTCCTGGCGTTCTTCTTTCTCTTCGTTCGCCTCTTGTTCAATCACGTCGATTAGACGATTCTGAAGCAGCGACGCAAACTGTTGTTGTGACTGGGTGGGGTGAGGCTTCTCTACCTCTTTCGTTGACTCCTTCGAGGAATTCATGAGTTCTTGCATCTTATTAATCCGATCGGCAACGGACACTTTTTTATTACCATCAACATTTCTCAGTGGATCGACGCCCTGTTCTCTGTCTTTGTTGCTGTGATTGCTGGGATGCACATGTTGAGGCAAATGTCCATAAAATGAAGTGTTTGCTGAAAATGACGTATTCGCAGAAGTACTTTCAGAGTCGACTCTGCTACCAAACGAATCGACGTCTATTGAACGTAAATGTTTATCCGCAATCATATCTTTGAGATAGTCGGTGACCCAAGTCTTCATTTCCTTCGAGTGTGGCTCAACACCGGAAGCGGTACTGACGTTTCCGACTGAAGACAGGCTCGTCACTGACCCCGAGTTGGACGACACCAAGTTGGAGCTCCGAGCAGTGAAGGAAGTGGAGGCTGGCGAGTCTATTAGAGAAGTAGGGGGCGCCTGCAGTGGTGGCGTATGCACAGGTCGCTCGAGTTTCGCGGCAAACGCTGGTAGGAAGTCTTGAGTTTTGGTTAAGGCTTTCGCATTGAACCTTGGCCTTGGTGCACTTGGCTTCTTGTTCCCCTGACTAGAGTCTGTGGTACTGTCGAGAGACTGAGTGGCTACTGAACTGTTGAGCTCTACAGTGTTTTTGTTCTCGGCTGTTGCACCATCCAGTAATCTACTCATAGATTTCTTACTGGAGGCTTCAGATTCGTTGCCATCGGCGAGATCCCTTGAGGTCATAGCAGCAAGGGGTGCGATTTTTCTCTGCTCCCCTAAAGCTGACTTGCTCACACTCGGCTTGAAGTCGACCACACCCTGAGCCGAATTCAACTTGAAATCAGGAACAGGCTTTCTATGATCTGACCTTTGTCCTGCTTCAAGCTGTGAGTGACGTGGAGAGTTGTCTGCCCCCAGCTCTGCTCGGAGACGCGAAGACTCCTCGCTGTCCGACTGACGGGCAGATAGATTTTCTGCCAGAACGTTCAGCGCCGACATTTCTATAGCGTTTCTGAGGTTTTGTTGATTGTATACTTTCGGAGAGTCCAGAGCACCTCGACTAGAGGACGGCGATACTGCCCGATCTTCGCTCTGCTGTCGTGAAGATTTCTCGAGCCTCAGCTTGACCTCTGAATCACAACTCTCCTGCTTCCAGGACAACGCCGTTTGTTCCTGTGCTGTTGTTGTTGAGGTCACCTGAGAGACTGACCGACTGGATAGTTCGGCCATTAGTTCACGGTGAGGTGTGGACTCCCCGAAGCTATGACTCTGTTTGACGTTTTCATGGTGATCAATTACATTTTTCTGTGACAACGGTTTGGAATTTTTTGAAGCGCTCTCTTCTGAGGCCGCTCTGTTCGCGTTAAATTTGCTTATAGTTTGGTTCAAATGACCGTGGAACTTTGCCATTTCTCGAACAGACGTTCTATCTACTGACGAGCCCCTGACAGAGGAAGAGATTTCAGGCGGGTCTGTTACGTGACTGAAAACATGGGCATTATTTTCTTGTTGCTGCTCTTGTTGTTCAAAATGCTGCTGAAGTTTTCCAAGAGATTTGGCCGGTTTCGGTGCCACAGCAGGGGGCTGTTTCTTTACTTTTTGGAAAGCATCGCTCGCGAAATTGTTGAAGTTTTGAGACAGCCTTTCAGCGTCAGTGCTCTGTCTTCTTATCTCTGACGAAGCTCCGTCACGATAATCCACGCTTTGTCCGTCTTGGGTCTCAAAGAAACTTCTTCGATTGCCAACTCCATCAGTGTTTTGAATACTCGTGGCTCGGTTAATGGAAAATGTATTCTCCACTGATGCACTTGCCGTATCCTCTAGTGGGACATCGCCTGCAGACTGTTTTCGTCCGCCATTTTGACCGCTGTCCGTCTCAGCTCTGAACAGGTCGCGGTATTGTTTCAGACTGGACACGTCACTTTTCCAACGCGGGTCACTTCGGCGACCTGGCCTCTTCTTCACCGTCTCCTCCATTTCTGTTTTCTTCTTCTCTTCCTCTTCCAACTGCTGCCAGAATGACCGTATACTCTTTCTTCTCTCTTTTGAGAGGGACAATCTCCGACCAGACTCGTCAATGGAAACTCTTCTCGAATCCCTCTGAGGCTCTGGCAGCCTCTCTTCCGCCAAGAGAACTTTCGAGACGCATTTCTGCTCTCTCCCGCTATGGATCACGGACAGAGACGCGTTATCTTTCCTGATAGCCATTTCTGGGGTGGGAATTAGCTTCATATTACTCAACACTGATTCGGCCTGCTCAGGATATTGAAGTTCTTGCTCGCCATCTTCCATGGTATCCGTACTTGGATGTAAAACCACTTGACTAAAAAAGACATTTGTGTTTGGAGGATCGCTCTCAGGGCTTTTGTGTTTCTCCAATTCTTGGACATCTAGATGTTTTAAACGAGCAGTGTCAAAACACTTCAGTTCCTGCACAAGCTTATGTTTCAGCTGTTTGGATTTAGAATACGACCGGATTTCAGTGAGGAGATTCTGCTTCAGTTCAAAGTCCACGCTGTTGAATTCCGAGCTTGGAGCGCTGTCGTTGACGCTCGACTCCCAGTCCAAACTTTCATTCCTCGACTCTCCGTCACGGTCTGTACTCAGTCCTGCTGCGTTACTTCCAAAACTTGTCAACGCCTCGGCGGTACTTCCCGCAAACTGTTCTCGTTTCTCGTACACATCGCCGATATGATGCAGTTTGTCCACTAGCTCTTTACAGTCAAACTGCACCTGGTCAGCGCGCGAGTTAGGCTCAGCTAGGGATGGCCGCTGCTGGGAGTCCCGAGGTTGTGGGTCAAAGGAATGGAGGTCACGTAACTGAAGGTCAAACGGTTGGAGGTCGAACGGCTGGGGGTCAAACTCTCGAAAGACGAACTCGTCGTCGTCATCTTCGTCGATCTCCGAGTCATCCTCATCTGGGTATTCCCTATAGCTCAGGCTCCGGCTGTGGCACTCATCGTACTCGAAGCTGATGAAAAACTCGTCCGTGTCCGGGAGATTGTCTCCGTCAGGGATGCTGTCACAATGGACGATGTCCTTGTCGTCGATATGTCCGTGGTGCTCCTTGAAGCTCTCCCTGATCCGGGCCGATTCTGTCACTGCCGCTAAAGCTTCCTCCTCATCGTCGCCGTGTGCACAGGAAGCCTCTCTGTCCTCGGCAGTAATTTCTTGTCCTCCTCCATTTACCTGATCGTCGGCAACACTGGCGCTATTGGGTGTGTAAAAGACAATCGCCTCATGGCTTGAGTGCCCGTTGGACACAACATCTCTCGGAGTTTGAAGAGTTGTGAGACTTTCTGATTTCCAAATTCTGTTCTCATTACCAGTGCGGAAACTGGCAATTTGTCCAGGCTCAGTTTCACCTTCTTCCTCCACCTCCTCCTCTTCCTCTCCCCACTCTTCCATTGGTCCTTCCTCTTCCATTTCATCTGACAGGTACTGGAGAATATCCTCCCCCATCTCTTCCATCGTCTCGCCGATGTTCACACCGACCTCATCCCCAGAATACTCGCCATCAGAACGTTCCCTGTACATCTCCTGACAGTCTCCACTCACATCTAGATCGTCCTCAAACTCGTCAGAAGAATATGTATAGTTGTGATGACTTGACCCGTCCATACATTTGTCACTCGCAAAGTCTCCACTTGCACCCAAAAAGTTGGCGCCCCTCTGAGAGTTCCTGTACGCCTCACCCTCTTCGTCAGAGGAATCGTGAAGCAAGTTCAAGGGCAGCTTCAAATCCAGTTCTTCTTCTTCTTCCTCGTGGGCGGTAATCTGAAACTGAAATTGTCCCGCTTGTCTATCGTTTGAATCTGTTACGTCCATTCCTGGGATGTGCTCCCCTTCATCCCCAGTATAACCCAAGGCCTTCATCTCAAAGTCTTCGTCCTCAGCGCTGGCGGTTTCCGTGCTGTCGATGGTGGCGGCTGACGACGTAGAGCGTTCCGAGCTGGGGTGGGCGGGAGGCACCTGCATGCCGAGATCCTCTTCCACCCACTCGTTCGTGTGTGCCAACCGTTCTTGCATTTCGTCCCCGTCAGGGGGCGCTCTGCCGATGTTCCCGTCGTGGCAGATCGACACGCTGCCTTGGTTGGACAAGATAGACACGTTGGAGCAGACGCTGAACCCACTAGCCTTACGACAGTCCCTCACATCTCCTGCTATCTCGATTCCACCAGGGAGACCTGAGGAGTCGCCCAACTCGGAAGATTGCTCTTCATCAAGCTCGCTCGCTGCCTGGTAGTCGAGATCTTCTGGGTCGATATCAGAATCGCTATCTACGTTCAACCGAGTTGACAGATTCGATCCGCTGCCGGCACCGGTACTTGCATTTCCTGACGACATTTCATCGAGCCCACCCGCACCCTCGTTTCTCGCAGCCTGCAGACGTTGCATGACCATTTCCTCCATGTCTTGGTCATCGATCTCTACTTCTGCATCCTCTACAGGATATTCGTAATCACCCGAATCATGTGGCGTATCGTCTACCATACTGTCATCGATACTATTGCAGGTGTATTCGTGGATACTGAAACTAGGATCGTAGACCGATATCTCGTCTCTCGATGAGAGAACCGGTTGGCTCTGAGTCCGCTGTATCGCCTCCACCGAGGAATCGAACGGCATTAGGAATGTAGATCGAGGAATCTCCCCTTCTTCCGATTCCTCTGTATATTCCTCGCCACCCTCGATGTGCTTCAGTTTGGAGTTGAGCTTGCCAAATAGTTCATCCAGCCTCTCTTTCATCCCACCAGACCGTCGCAGCACAGCTTCCTCGTGAGGAACGCTTTCTTCGTCAATGTCATCTTCTATCTCCTCGTCGGCGTCTAGGCTGCAATGTTGTACAGTTATAACTGGAGGCTGAAGGCCAAACTGACCATTAGGGTCATCCTCAACAACTGTCTCTATCGTCTGATGGTCAACGTGACTTTTGGATGTGTCCTCTAACCCTGATTTTGAACAAATGACAGTGTCTGTCGCCGCTGCTACGGCATTTCCACCTCGCAGCTGTTCCTGAAGCTCGAACATCCTAGAGTCTATGGACTGATGTCTTTTCTTCGAAACTCCATAGACATCACTCGGAATGCTTTCATTGGGGAGAGACTTTCTTTTCTCTCTGTTCACAACAGAAACATTTTTGGGGAGCACTCTGGGGCTTTTCGGAGACGGGATGTTCGTGATCGCCATTTTGGACCAGATTGACGTCATTTGGGAGATTTTCTGTCCAGATTTCCGATGGTTCATTTTCTTTTTCTTGGCACAAAATGGTATATCGGACTTAACCCCATGAAACCCCGATGTAAGGCTCGGTTCAATGCTGTTGTCTGAATCACCCTGTTCTTCGTCCTTCAATTTCGCAGCAAAAATATTTCCTCGTGGGGTCAAAGTCATATTTGCTGCTTGCTCCGCAGTCTGGAAGCCATCAGAGTTCGAGAGTGTAGAATTGAGATTTTCGTTGCTGTCGTAGAAGCTTTTCTCAACGATAGTGACGTCATTGCTCTTCATGTCTGTGGAGCAGTCGCTGAGGTTTTCCACAGAGGTCGTGATACTGATCGAGTTCCTCGCCGACACGTCATCTCCACTGAATAGAGACTCGTTTTCAGACATACTTTCCATCTTAGGAGGCGTTTTGGCGGCCGTCGCCTTAGAGCTCGAGTCGCTGCCGAGACGGTTGAGCCTGTTCTCCTGCATCGAAGAGCGCCCCCCTTCCGCTTGGTACAAAACGTCATCACGATCTGTGGTGAAGGGAATGAAATGTTCGTCCTCAGAGCTGGAGCTGTCAGACGGCGGGGGTTTGGGGGTCAATGGGCTCTTTCTTGATCTGGACGTGGATCGCCTGAGGTCTCTTTCTTTTTGAGAGGATCGATTCTTTTGTCTGGTTGAGGAATTTTCCCTTGAGCCTTCATCTCTTGACCGAGTTTTCAAGATCGATTTCGGATGGCTAGAAGTAGAGGAGTCAGAATTTTGCTTGTTGTCAGGTTTGACAGACACAACGTGAATCGTGGCTTTTTGGACCAATTTTTCCGTAAACACCGGCACAAACTCTCCCGTGCTCAGAAGTCTTTTGTGGCTGTCGGCCCCTGCTCCACTGGACACGCTCCCTCCTCCCTCGGCGTTGAAAATATCGTCGTATGACGATCCCAACTCGAAATCAGTGAACCGATCCATGGTATCGTCGTGCTGTAGTCTCTGTCTGTTGGCGTCGACGATATCGGTGAGTCGGTCGTCCCAGTCGGTGTCAGAGGAAGATTTCATTGATCGGAAAGACGGTTTTGGGGATCGAACCCCGGCCGCTGACACCGGTATCTCCCCACGACCCACAGGGGTTCTATTCCCAGCTGATGGCATACTGCCATTGACACCTGGTGGACCCGTTCGGACGTGAGAGACTTGACTTTGAACGAGTTCTGCACTCGTTTCTGATTCCTGATGGTCCCATTTCAAATCTTCAAGTCTTTTCTTCCCAGATTCAAACGCCTGCACCCTGGCCCTCACGTCAGTGGAGGCCCCGTTGCCTAGATTGAGCTCTCGCCTCGGACTCGACACTCGTTCAGAGTTTAGTATTTTCTTTCCGACCTCAATCTCCCCCACACTCCGCCTTCCCGAAATTCGGGCAGATATTTTGTCTTCTGCCACTGTCCGAAGTGAGCTCGGTTTTACAGCTGCTGTCTCATCAACCAATATGTTGTTAGAGTAATCTTGTCCTGATGTTCCGTTGCTAGGGACGCTATGATTTCCGCCTTGCCCACTCCCTACTTCAGGTGATGTTTTGTTGTTAACAATACTTTGTTTTCCTGTTAACCCAGTGTCTGCTTTTGATGTCGCAGCATTGCTAATGACACCAGACTGCTCTGTCGCATTGCCACTTTCTTCAGGAATGGATCTGGCGGACAGGACTTGAACCTCCGCCTTCTGGTCTTGTCCACTGCGCGGGGTTCTGAGCGGCGTACGCGGTGTTCGCTGTTTGGCGCGGCTTTGACGTTCTCTGCGGGGCGTGGTCGCTGTCCCAGTCTGACAGGGGGTGGGGATGAAGGGGCGGGGCGAAGGGGTGTGTGGGATAGCGAAAAGCAACAAGCGGGAAAGCAGGGAGGGGATGAGGATGGAGGGTTCAAAAAGGTATTTTTTGTTTGGGGATGGGGCATGCAGATTAAGTAAAAAATAAGGGGAGGGGTTAGAAGACGTTTGTTTGATTTCGGATAAGGGGAAAAAAGGGAGGGGGGGGGGG